CCGAGTAGCTTTGAAAATCTGTTGAAACTTAAGGACCAAAACTATTGAAAAGATTGCTAGTGATCGACCCCAAAACGGTTGGCAAAATTTCGAGTTTTCTTCTACCCAATGGCGAAGCAACCAATTTGCAGTCTGAAGCGGTTGTAAAATTTTCACCCAGCCGGAAGTTGTAAAGCCATAAACCATCAAAATCGACTAAGGGTAACATGCACATTAGTTTTTAGTGTACTTGATGATCTTTTGGGAGAATAAATGTGATAAAAGTGACCAAAATGGGACAAGTAAATGATCGATGGACAGAATGTCTGCACAGATGTGATACATGGAGTAGTGATGTCGTTGGTCTTACAGAGTAACAGTAAACTGCGCAACGCTCAGCTTCTCAGGAATATTTCTCGTTATACATGATATCGAAAAGTATTCAGTACTTAAAGCTTCCCACCATATCACGAATGCGCTTGAGTACGCATAACAACCCATTGCCCGTATTCGTTACAGATGATTGTCTGTATGCCTCCTAAATATTCTCACAGATCCTTAGGTCACTAGTCACGAAAGTAATGGCACTGAGTGCTTTCCATCTTTCCCTCAAACCAAATTTCGTTACGAAAAGCAGAACACGAAAATATTTAGCGCTAAGGGACTGGACATGGTGCGCTTAACAGCGCTGTCCTAGCTCACAACATCAGACAGCGTGCGTAGCTCCACTCATATATTGTGTGCATCTATTACATGATTAGAAGTTCACACAACACAAAATCTGGTGAGACAATTATGTATGAACTACAAGTTTCTTCATATTTACCACATTAGCCTTCATAAAGCGCAGATTGGAATCCTGTCGCTCCCTAGGATTGGTGGTTATACACATTAAGCGCGAAAAGCGACTGACCACTTACCGTCTAATACATATTGTCACTCCAAGGAACACCATAATTGTATTTTATTCTCGTTTCTATTTATTAACGATGGGATGTTATCACTGTCAAAAAGGTCTCAGCATCGCTGCTAATAGCTCCCAATTCTCGCATACACTGATGAAGTAGAAGTGTATATTCTCGTCTGCGAGAGACTGAACTTGAGAGGGCCAGATCAAAATGTACCGAAGCGTCATGCTCATGCATGCGGAGTTTAGATGTTATTTGTCAAGTACTTTTTAACTATGGGATTCCAAATGGGCAGATAACAGCGCCCTCAATGTGGGTTCTTGGTTGTAGTTCGTCTCCTGTGTGATTTTGCGTGTTCCAACCACGATCCAGCTTACAGATAAGCGTTTTCATTTTCTTCCCTCAGATGGCCAGAGCAGCCAAGACAAGCTTCCGATAAAGGTGTAAATGGAGCAGGAGAATTAGGTTAAACCAAGGAAATAAAACACCTGAATGTAGTAGAAAGAAGCGAAAAATCCTAAGCCTGGATATAAATTGTTATATGTTAAGCAAGCAATAATGCAGCTAGATAAAACAGGTATTTAGGCACGCAACGATACGCAGTACGCCAATCATAAATTAAATCAGTGCGTGACATTACAGGGCGACGGCACGAATGTGAATACCAGATAAAGTGCTCTCTAGAGCGAAAAATGGGGAAAAGTAACAACAAACAAGCCAAACACAGCAGGCAGGCTGTGATGTATCTTAGCGAAACAAATGCGATATCCACAAATGTTTCCAAGGTAAGAAAAACTACGAATAGCTCCCCTGTTTAATTTTCACTAAAATTGTGGTTTCGCTTGCCAAGCAAACCATGAAAAGATAAAGAAAACATGAAAAACAGTGCACATAGATAGATTCTAGGTAACAAGTCGCATCCAATAAGTCGGAGCACAGCACAGATATAGTGAAGGTTGGAACTTGCGACCTGAAAGACCGAAAAATCTGGTTTTTCGTGCGTCAGTAATTGAAAATAAAATTAATAACGCTTGTAAATTCGTAATCATGCTAAAAGGTCTATGCGGGACTTACGTAAACGCAGTATCTCTGAACTCGCCTCAGTTAATGCATGATAAGAAGAGCGCCTCGAGCATTATTTTGAGGATACTGAGACATAGCAAATGCAACGAAGCAAAAATCTACTTTTTCAATACCTTCATTTGGTCGAGAGTTTAGTGCCGGGCAACATATGCCTTGACAACATGGAGGTAGCAGGCCAGCTCTGTATTCATTTGAACAATATGTGCTCATCTGCCTGCAATTTATGTAGTGAAGACTGCAAAAGCTACCGCTATTTTTTCGTTCTAGATAATAAGAGGCTTCGATCCGCTTTTATCTTGAGACACCATGCTTAGACCAACAAAGGTAAGTAGATAAGAAGAGGAAAGATTGGAAGCAGCCTGTAGTACCGATATTTTACTGAGACCGTTAACCGGTTTCTTGACGACCTTGGCTGTACGATCTTAGAATTGAATTAGTCGTGAACATAGGCTTTCCACCATTATGCCATTTTCGAGACTACCCTCCACTAGTCACTTGGTGCGGATAACATTCACCCGCAAGCATTTAAGACAACAGCCATGCACCGGCCGAACTGCTTACTACATACCTTCAGCGCAATCTAGACGAGAATATAGTTCGGTAACAATGAAACTTTGTGATCACCATCCTATTCACTGCGGAGTGAGTGATCTGAGCCTTCTATTTACCGCCCGACAACGCTTTGCTTTGTGCGCGCCAAGGTCATGGAAGCGTCCATTGCAGGCTCACTGATGGGTTACCTGGAAAGCTACGGATTAATCGCGATGATGTAACACGGGCTTCATCAACACCGAACTTGTACCACGAAAGTGCTTACTACACGCAACAACTAAACTGCTGCAGCAGAGGAGGGGACAATAGATTGTATAATTTGCTTCAATTGGACAGAAGCATTCGAACACGACGATCATGATATGCCGCTACACAAATCAGAGATATGAAATCGGAACTGTAATAGTAGGAATGATGGATACGTTTCTGCGCGAAGGACAACTAGGCGTTAGACACAAAAAATCACTCTCCCACCTGATCCTATTGGAGCGTGGTGAATCCCCAGGTTTGGTGCACTGGCCACGCCGTTTATTGGCATGCACTAAAAGTTAGCGCTTCAAAATATTTGATCGTCATGGAGATACTTAAGATCTGCCGAAATTTCGAGGATTAGACGGCTACCATATCCTTCAGCGTGACATTGAGAAAAGCTGGAATTAGTACGCGAGGATTGCGCTACCTTTCAATGTATACATCTTTAGAGTTTAACGTGTTTCGGGGAACTGATAGCTGGCGTTGCCAACACAATTGCTTATAGTTTCCGCGAGCTTGGCATTTTCAATGCATAGGTTTCACTACCATGCGACTGGCATCTTCAGTGACGTGAGATGCAGTGCAAACTTTGAAATTAATTTACCGATACACTCATCTATATTGTCGAATAGCTCCCTTCTGCCACCGGGTATATCAACCTTAGAATATCCTTCCAAACTCAGTTGTGTTGCACCGTTCATTACTTAAATTCAAAATCATTGCTTACATTGAAGCCACTCCCATGCAAGCTAGTAAACACTCGCGTTGTCAAACTCAACTGGCACGACTGAGTCTGGCGGTCATACGCGTACTTGAAATCACGGTTACGTGCGTGCGCACAAACAGGGTGCAAGTTGCGTCGCCAGTAATCTATTTTGTCGAAAGTGCTGATGAATATAATTTTCTTAAGGAGGCACTTGACTCTATATAATTGACTGAGAAACGGTGTGGAAATTAGCAAAAGCACAATGTCCGCGGACTCATATGTAGACGAAAACCCACTGGACGACTGAACCGAACGTAGTTCGTCCATGTATGTTCTCCGCGGTCTGTAGGCACCATACTTGTAGTTTAGTTCCCCAAGTCTACTAAACAACTTTTTCGTGGAGCCAGCTGGGTATTTCCGGGTTAACCTAGTTCCAGGACATGGTGGGTTTCCGTCTGGCAAGCGTTCTCTCTATAAAAAGCCACAAATGTTTTTAACCACAATGCGATGTGGCAAATGTGACGCGCCACTAACTTAAGTCACTATTTCTTACGTACGCAAATGATCTTACCCCGTCCAGGTATACCAGGCATCCAATACGAAGATTTATATATACACCTATTCACGTTGACGTTGCGAACAAAAACAGTAGCAAATACGGCGGTACATTTACAAATCGAAGCAACACAGTTATACACATTCATACCTGCAAAATTCATATACACTTATCACATTGATCCATATTCCACTGATAAACTTTTAATGTTATTTACATTTAACGGTCCTTAAAATTTTTCCACCATGCTCATTTCTATACACGCGTGTCACGCATTTTCGAGAATAAAACATTATCTATGTGTTTATTAAATTGGGATGTTGACGTCTGGTGCTTGGTAATTGTTTTTCCGATGATGCCCTTTGATATTGTCAGTTTATGGATGTCACTTGATCTGTGTTACACCTGCATTTCTTATTTATACTAAAGGTGCTTTCGTTTCTATTCGCCCTGCGTTTGTTAGTTGATATGCATGAACCGACCTGCTTATTAAATGATGGTAGATTGCGTTATTGTGGTGGTATTACCCTACTGTTCCAAAAGTTTGGGTTTCTGATTTTGATAAGTAGAGAAAACGACCTCTAGCTCGGGTCTGCATGTAGGTAAATTATGAAACAAGTTTTACTTTCCTCCAAGATAGATCCGTACCATGTATTTCTACCTAAGTACCTTGATGACTTATGTGTTCTAGTAGGTTCAACATGCCGAAGTTAAAATATGAGTATCCAGTGACACCGAAGATGTTGCCATGCCGATCAGAATGTGAGGGTTTTACTTTAAGGTGAAACCGAAGGGTTGCATGTTGCCATGAGTATACGGTGTATGGGACCGACAGAGTTAATGTGTCAAAACCTTCAAATTGGTGGTAACCTTTTCGCTGGAACATCGATCCTACTTTAGATAATGTGGATTTATCAAATATTACTGATCATTTTTATACTTTTTCACTTACACTGGTCACAAGGACAACAATGCTGTTCTTCGCCGTTTCTTGAATATGAGCTTGAACATACTGCGTGCATTCCATGAATTTATCAGAACTCGTTTTGTAACTTGAAGAATATTTGTCTACATCGATAAACTGGCGTTCGACACTGGACTTCAACACGATGAAGATTCGGGACCGTTTATTTGAATGCTACAGGTACTCAGAATGTTACTTACTCCAGTCGTAACAGTTTGCTTTTTTACTGATGATGTTATAAAAACCAAAGACTGAAAATGTACCAACTAAAGCACATCAAGTTTATATAGACTTTACATAAATCTTTTGCTTGTGATACTCGCGTCTCCTCGAGTTCCCATATATGATCAGCAACCTATGGCTGACAAAGCAGAAACTTTACCAAATGCAGTTTTTTAACGAAAGTCAATTTACAATTTTTTGTGTTGTGTCGTACTATACAAACCATCCTGTGTTTGCGAAAAATAACTATGTTTACCACGTAATTAACTGGATCGGAGCAGGTAGAAAGAGTTCGTCAAGGGTTTATGATATCAATCGTTCATTTTTCTCCGAGCTTGGCGGTTTTGTCGCAGTTTCATCACCATGCGAGGTGACATCCTCAGTGTAGTGATATGCGGCGTGCCATCTTACTGAATGAATCCTTCATCCATGATCGACCTGCAGGTGACTTTTGAAATTGGCGGTGTCGATTAACGTCCCGTGACGTCTATCCACTTTCCCCAAGGCTAAATTCGACGCCCGCGGTGAAACAAGAAAAGAAAGAGAATTCCTGAAGCTTGGTTCTCAACGAAACCCTCAATCAACATGCGCGTGGACATCGATTCAGTATACGAACCACTAGGACAGCAAGAAATAAAGAACATTTTGTCACGGGGTTTAAGGCAGAACAACTCGGGCGCCGAGTTTAGCCTTAGGGAAAGTGGGTAGAGGTCACGGGACGTTAATCGGCACTACTATTTTCAAAATTCACCTGCAGGTCCATCATGGATGAAGGATTCATTCAGTAAGATTGCATCCCGCATATCACTGCATTGAGGATGCTACCTCGCATGGTGATGAAACTTTGCGACAAAACCGCCAAGCTCGGAAAACAAATGAACAATTGATTCATCAACCCGAGCTACCAGTATTTTGAAACATTTTAAACAACTACGGTTTGTGATATGTCTGGACCATCACCTGGAGTCAAATTAGCATTCATTTAGGCGAATTGGTTTTCCTTGTACAAGCAATTTTCCGTGATTATGCTACCCTCTCTCCACCACTTATGGGTTACATTCTCGCAGTTTTTGAATATATGGCTTGTTTATTTTCTACCCGTAGTTCGTGTGTCACACGTCTAACAACTATTTATGTTGGGACTTAACTACTGCCCCCTATTTTCCGCGACGTTTCTCTAAGTACGGATGGTAACGAGACTGATAAGAATATTTACGTAAAGCTGAGAAGTTCGATAGTGATAGAGAAGCAATAACAAGTGGAGTCCAAGGCGGCGAACGAGTATTAGTCCAAATCTCCCTATGGCTGCCATGATTCGGAGGATGAAATATACTTTAAGAGTGAGTTGATTTCGCAGAACAGCAGTGTGAAGTGCTTTTGCTGACATCCGACTTCGGACAGCCGAAAAATAGCTACCAAGAGCTAAAAGATTGGAGCGTGCTTGTGGCGAACTCCAACTAGTGGTGTGCTAGCAGCTTGAAATTTAATGGTCCAATGTGAGCATGCCAATAAGGTCAAAGCATAAGTTGAAATGCCTTCCATTTATTTGTGGAACTGGTCTTCGATCCCAGCTTGGAACTAGTGTTCGAATGTATGTTTTACTTTGACGGCCATTAATTTTTGACTCTTTCAGTATCCACTTGAGGAACCGTTCGGGTATCTCACTGATGTTTCGTATAACACTTTAATTCGCGACTATTTCAGCCTCTCCAGTTGGTGCCGACTTAACTAGAGGCACTATGGATGAGCGGATAGGCGCTTTCATCGAATCGTGTGGTATACTACACTGTAATCAGTCATTCGGAAGCTATTTGACTTAAACGATGCTGCAATAGTCTACAAGTATTAATTCCTAGGCGCTTGAAAATATACTGTGTGCGTGAATGTGCGTAAATGCACATTCAGTGGTGTTGTCGATGTTGTTTATCTTACAATGGTGCATCCGTGACACGAAACTGAACATAGTCGTGTATACGACATGTCAGAATCACCGCCCCTCCGTAAGTACTATCTTTTCCAGTTTTCAACTAACAAATATCTGGGAAGAGCACATAGCCGATAAATTAGTTGGTTTTAGCTGCGATGAAAGCACTGTGATTTCCAAACCGCATTCTAGCCTATCTGGTACCTAGTGAGGGGTATAAGTGATGATCAAGGGAAGAAGAGAAAGACGAGCCCGGGAAGTTACCGCCCATTGATACAAATTCGCTAAATTCGTTCTCCAAGGCTTGACGATAATCGCTGGTACATCACTGGGTCTGTAGAGAAACCTTTAGTGTACATAATTAAGCTACTAATTCGGATTTCATTTTAGAGCTTTCTGTTTAGGGCCATGAGTATTCGACGATCAAGGATTACTTTGCTGTATGCCGACCGTGTCCAGAGTGTCTGGTAATCCAACTTCAACTAATGGACGCTAAGAGACCGGGACACCACTCGTTCTTCAGTACATTGTTCTCCTGCACATAAACCAGTCGCGGGTTGCATAAGATTATTGCAAGAGACTTTCCTATATGGTAATTAGCCATCAGTTTCAACACAATGGTCTTTGTACTTCGCTTGCAACTATCAACATCATAAACCGCGCACTTTCTGTTCTGCTAGTTTCCAAATTGTGACTGCCTTGGCGTTGACGTGCTACCAATGTGTCCAGCGTTTGATGAATCTAGCAGGAATTCGAAGATAGATGAGGAGGTTACTTCGACCTTTAATGTGTCAGCTGCGTCCACAACTGCGTGTGCACAACTGGAAGGAGCACATGCATCGTCTAACAGATAAACCGAGTTATGTTATGAACTGAACTACTCTTAGTAGGTGGACAGAAAGCCGGAGCGTGGATAAGGCTAGTGTTATTGTGACAGCGAGGATTTAACACATGATAAGCGTATGGTCAAATAGGTAATATGATTCAATGGCCGATGACTCCTCAATGGTTGCTTGGACTGTGCCGCAATATTGATGAGAGGATAGAATGAGATCAAGGGATTGACTTCTTTATAGTAGAACTTGGATACAAAGAACCTATTATCCATTTTACATTTGGTTGATGTGCTTCGTCCTAGACAACTGCTGCGTGCACAATGGACAGTGAATCTTGACGGGAATTTTATGTTCGTAATTCCAGCCAGACCCATGACTAGATCCCCTCCCTAATTCAAAGTATGTGCCTCACCTTGTCACAGCAAGTCCATCCTGTGAACTGGGTTATTGGATTTTTTGATCCAGGTCAAGATTGTACAGTGTGAACGGGAGAGCACGTAAAATGTCCATATATCCTCAACGTCGGATTGCCCCCTCACACCTATCACGAATTGCTTGTGTACGCCAATATCCCTGAAAAGCCATACACAGCTAAACGTTTAGGCTTTCATCAATGGGTGTAAGTTGCGAAGACACAACTGACTGGTGTTATAACATTCACCCTTGCCGTGGCTTCATGCGATCAGGAGAACAACCTGGATTTGTAGTGAAATTTTTCGTAGAAAGATGGTGAAAATATGATGAGATGTCTTAGTGCATTTGTATCGAAATTCGGCGAGCAGAGTGCCTAGACCGTACCCTTTTTATTTTTATTGAATGCTGAGTAAGATGTTCTCGTCATCTAGAGTATAAACTATGAAGACATAACTTGTGTCACATGTAGGATACACCATCTAGATATTATCACTAATTTTTCTATATATCACTCACTAACAAGTTCACTAACAAGTTTCAACAATTTGTACGTTTTCTACATGCAATCTTTACGGAATTTGGAGTATCATTTACCATTCATTATCTTTCGTGTGCTCTCTAAGTCACCTAAAACTTGGAAGGATATCTATTCGTTTTGTGAAAACTGCAGACCTATTTCAATCATCTGTGATCCAACTTGTATGGGGTTTGCTCTACACATTACATCAAACATCACCCAAGTTCCATTCATCCTACACGAAATTCCCAGCTCTATGCGGTAGATTGCTAAGAGTAGAAATTATTTCATCGCTTTGTCAGTTAAATTGTCGTACCGGTTCTGCAAGAGATATGCCAGCTGGCCATTCGTATCGGCGGAACAGTTTCATCAGTTGACGGTGATCGATCCACAATGCCATCACATCAACCACGTCACCACGTCACGAGCAATAAACAGAATTACAACTTACACCGCCACTCACTAGACCGTGCAACGTTTGGACATATTTGTGAAATGAGACCAGCATGCAGTGCGTCCGCTTAAAGTCCATGCAGGTTGGTTGTATAGCATTCTCTCTCACTCCACATGACAGTGTGTAAACAAGAAAGTAAGTGGACGCACCCATCCGTCTGATTAGGGTGCACAACCGACCAGTTAGATTAGGGCGCAACGTCAAAAACATACTGTATAAGGTAGCATCCCTATGCCGAGTAGCAAAATACAAATAGCTACGAATCCAACAGAGCTCCAGTCAAAGCGTAAATACCGGTCCGCAGAATGCGACCGATTAATCAAATTCGGTTTGCTTTGCTCACAAGTTTTCATATGGTAGAATGCAAAATGTGTAAATATTTCCAAACAGCACTTGAAGGACCGAAACAGCTCCCAATAGACCTCTGTTTTTGTACGGCTGTTTGACCAACTCGCTACTCAATTGCGTACTTCTCCTAGTCCAAACGTGCGATAGGTTGGCAGAAGAATTTGAGCAACAAACGAATGCTAGGATTGCATAAGTAGAAGAGAGTATGCACTAAGATAACTCAGGGGCTACAAAGAGAGACGGTGTTGCAAAGTTAGTTTCACTCGAACCAAGATTGACAAAGTCCCCATTGCTGTTATCTTCCATAATTTTTGAAGGACGCCAGACGAATACAGACCACGAAATCCAGGCACCCTTGGAAATGGGTGATGGAGGAAAGTCAGCCGGTACTGACTACTTATCTGATTAACGAGGATGAGACAGCCGAACTCTAGTCCACTGCATCTGCAACCCATAGGTCTCTGGTCGAGTTCAAATCCCCGAGACTTCAATCACATATGCAGAGATCTCTGAAAATTCTTTGGGGTCGTTAACACCGCTAACGTTAATAGAATGAAGTACATTAATCATCAGCTTTTGCCATAAAGCCAGACCCAACGGTCACCCGATTTCGCAGTTCAAAACAGGGCTCCATTCATAACTGCCTAACTGGCGTGGGCACAAATATCACCGAAACTACAGCCATCACATTGCGGAGTCAGTTGTCTGACGACGCAGAGCATTTGAACT